GGGCACATTTTTCTTACTCTCTTTTTTTGTTGTTGTTAAAGTCAATAGGCTCTTCTATACTGACTTCAAAACGTTTACTTATCTAAAGGGTCTTATACAATAGAGAACTGCTTAACTATTTCAGTGAAAATAAGACAAGGAGTTGAACAGGAATACTATCTGCCTGCCTACCTCTTAAAGATGATGGTTTGTCTTGAATATTTAAAAGTCAAACATTTTTGCATGTACAATGTCCAGAAAATAATATATAGATTTGAAAGGTGTTTTAATCCTTCAATTGAAATTTCCATCTGAGCTGGGCTTTCTGGTATTAAGTCTAGCTCACTCTCCACAGATTACATGAATGAAGGTGATTCTCTTGTAACCCCTACGAAAGATCACCCTCTCACTGCTGTTTCTCAGAAATATTCCCCAGGCTGAAAGTTACTGAACCACCTGTGTAGAGCTATAAACATCTGCATCAAATGTAGATTTGCCCAACTAAGGTAAACTGATCTTTCCTAGGTTTTACCTCAATCAAAATTTAACTCTAAATTGTAGCTACATTGCTTCAGGCTCTATTCTTTGCTTTCAGTTCAGAAAGAAAGTAAGCAATTTAGCTAATATAACTAATTAGGCAGGCAGAACGCTTTTCCTCCTGGCTAACAACGCAGGTGGACTATTAGAACCTGTCCTAATGTTTTTTGTCTAGCCTTCACCTTAATTTCTTTTAAAATTTGTTATTGTTGGCTGGGCGTGGTGACTCATGCCTGTAATCCCAGCACTTTGGAAGGCCAGCTACCCAGGAGGCTGAGGTAGGAGAATTGTTGAACTCTGGAGGCAGAGGTTGCAGTGAGCCAGGATGGCGCCACTGCACTCTAGCCAAGACTCCATCTCAAAAAAAAAAATTGTTATCATTTTAAAAATTTATGTCCCAGTGCACAAAGCAGGCTGTTCAGTAGGTATGCAGTAAAAAGATGATAGGACTAGGAGTCAGGGAACCAGGGTTTTAGTCTTTTTTCTAAAACCTATTAGCAGCTAGCCATGGTGGCTCACACCTATAATCCCAGCATTTTGGGAGGCCAAGGTGGGAGGATAACTTGAGGCCAGGAGTTCAAGACCAGCCTGGACAACATAGTGAGACTTCATTTCTACACACACACAAAACACACACACACACACACACACACACACACACACACACACATATAAGTAAACTATAGCAGTAGAATAAATGTATATGTTAGCTGGACACTGTGGTGTGTACCTGTAGACCCAGCTACTTGGAAGGCTGAGGTGGGAGGATTGCTCAGGTGATGAGGTTGCAGTGAGCTATGATTGTGCCACTGTACCCCAGCTTGTGTGACAAAGATCCTGCCTCAAACCAAAACAAAGCCAAAAACAAAAAACAATGACAGTAACAACCCACCCCCCAAAAAAACCCCAAAAGGCAATTAGCCATATGACACTAGAAAACTGAAGATGAACCTGTGTCCTTTTGGAATCTTATTTCTCTTCTGTGTAACTCGACATAATTAGATTAAATCATTAAAACATAAAATAATTTTGAGATCCAACATAAGAGTTTAAGCTTACTAAAATAAAATTTCCAACAAATATAATCTATTAATTATCATTTCATATGCAAAAACTTCTATTTTTTTTTTAAATAAAGATGGGGGTCTCACTGTTGCCCAGGATGGTCTTGAACTCCTGGCCTCTAGTTATCCTCCCACCTTGGCCTCCCAAAGTGCTGGAATTACAGGTGTGAGCCACCATGCCCGGCCTGAGAGAATATTTTTAACATGAAGACAAAACAACACAAAACAAAAGAACAAAGCATAATCTCAGGAAAAAGACTTTTAAATTGAATAAATTTATTTTTATGAAAACTTAATACATTGTCCATATTTTTTAATTTCAGCATTTGTCAGAGAAAACTTTGTCATGGACTGGCAACTTCTGAGATCCTTTCTGGTTCTAAAAGCCTCTTTAGTTTTGTCAAAATAAATCTGGTGGCTGCTGACTTGGTCTCCAGAATGAGCTGGCTCCATGAGGCTCTGGTATCTCCTGTGCCTACCACAGTGCCTGGATTAAATAAATTAAAAGGTGCATTAGATTACATAAATTAGAAGGTGAAATGATCCCTGCTGAGTTGCAGTTCCTGTATGGAAGGAGTATACCCCAAGAGGAGGGGGTGAGCCCATGGACTTTCAGCTTAGTCCTAAATGTACAGTAAAAGCAGTCAAGTTGGTTCTAGGCTCCGAGTTCAATGGTCACGTTCCTCAATCCTGCCCAAAATCTGAATCCAGGATAGGAGTCTGCTATGGTCTAAATATTTGTGTCCCCCAAAATTAGTATGTTAAAGCCTAACCTCCAATGCAACAGGATTAAGAGGTGGGGCCTTTGGGAGGTGATTAGGTTATGAGGACTCATTTAGTGTCCTTATGAAAGAGGCTTCAGGGAATCTACTTGCCCCTTCCATCCTGTGGTGATACACAGAAGGCATCATCTATGAGAAATGGAACCTCACCAGACACCAAATCTGCCGACACCTTGCTTGGATTTCCTGGCTTGCAGAACTGTGAACAATAAAGTTTTGTTTATAAATTACCCAGTCTGGGCCGGGCGCGGTGGCTCACGCCTGTAATCCCAGCACTTTGGGAGGCCGAGGCGGGTGGATCACGAGGTCAAGAGATCGAGACCATCCT